TTATAAAATGTATTCACAATCCATTTCACATAACATTTTTCATCTCCCCATACTCCAGCTCTGTGAGAGTCAGCCATTGGGATAGCAGCCTATATCCTGATGCAGACTGGTGCTGCCAGGGTGAGCACTATAGATATTGACCTCCAAAATGTAGGTTTTGTGTTTTCACCACTGATCTTTATCTTAAGGGCCCCAGCAAAGAGACTGGTCCCATATGCTTAATCAACTTTCCTGGTGTCAGTTCTTAATGGGATTTAAGAAGATAGGACGCTTTTTATTTTGTATTTTTTTTCTAATTTGATCCAGGCATTTAACACGCTCTCTGTGACATCACTGGTTGCCCACAGAAATAATGGAACAGAAACTTCATTGACTGTACATAGCCAGGAATACAATCTTTGTAAAACTCACTACACTGTTGAATGACTAAAAACTTTCTCAGATATCATCTGTAATCCCTGACTGTTAGAAATAAGAGGGATAATCTGCTTTCTAGAGTTACCTTGTTACAATACTCAAGATGTCCACTTGTCAAAAAAATTTACAAACAATATAGAGACAGAGGAAATTATGGCCCATTCACAGAATAAAATAAATTGACAGAAAACATTCCTGAGGAAACCCAGACATTAGATTTACTAGACAAAAGAACTTTAATTTTAACTGTGTTCAGAGAGTGAAAGGATATCCTGGACCCCCCCAAAAAAGGGGGATATCAGAAGAACAATGTATGAACAACTAGAATATCAATAAAGAGAAATGATAAAAATTAAAAAGAAAAGGAACCTAATAAAAATTCTTAAGTTTGTAATTACATGTAATCGAGTCAGTTCTAACTCATCGTGACCCTGTGCACAACAGAACAAAACCCTGCCCAGTCCTGCGCCAGCCTCACAATCGTTCCTCTGCTTAAACCCATTGCTGCTGCCACTGTGCAAATCCATCCCATTGAGGGTCTTCCTCTTTTTTGCTGACTCTCCACTTTACCAAACATAGTATCCTCCTCAAGGACTGCTCCCTCCTGATAACGTGTCCAAAGTATATCTGAAGTAAACAGTTTTCAGGAAGAAAATAAGCCTATTTGAAGATGGACAATTGACATTTTTCATTCTGAGAAAAAGAAAGTTAAAAGAAATAAAAATGAATAATGCTTAAGAAACATTGTAGTTGTTGTTGTTAAGTATCGCGGAGGCAATTCCAACTCCTAGTGACCCTTCACAAGATTTCCAAGGCTGTAAATCTTTACAGGAGCAGAAAGCTCCATCTTTCTCCCGCAGAACAACTGGTAGTTTCAAACTGCTGACTTGGAGGTTAGCAGCCCAATTCATAACTACTATGCTAGGAGAGCTCCTTAATTTCCATGGTAACCACCAATAAAATATTTTTATGATACAAACATAAATGAAGAGGAAATCAAAATGTTATCCAAGAAAACTCAATCAAACCCATTGAATATTGAAGGAATTGATAAACATAAACAATATAAGACAATAAACAGCAGAAGAGCAGAAGTATTTCTTCATTAGCAGTGATCACTTCATTGTCAATGGTTAATCAATTAAAAGAGTTACATGATCCAACTATATGCTACTTGTAGTACACTCACTTTAGACCTAAATGCAAAGCTTGAAGGTGAAAGATTGATAAGCACTAGACTGTGACCCACAAAGTCAGCTGTTCTAGCCCACAAAGTCAGCTGTTCTAGCCCACCAGCTGCTCCCTAGGAGAAAGATGAGGCTCTCTGCTCCTGCAAACATTTAAAGCCTCAGAAACACCCTACACAGTATTTCCATGCAAATGGAAACCAGAAGAAAGCTGCATTGACTATATTAATATCAGATAAAATATATTTAAAACAAAAGTTTTAAATAATGTTCAACCTCTTAAAACGGTTGAACATTAACCATTTCTTTTTGCTATAGTGACTCTGTGTATTCCTTCCATCTTCTCTTGATGCTTTCTACATCATTCAATAATTTCCCCAGTAACGAAAGTCGAGACTTGAATTTTTACTTCAGTTCCCCCAGCTTGACTGTGTTTTGGGGTTTTGGTTTTCTGATTCCAGATCTTTGCACATTTTGTTGTAATATTTGGCTTTATCTTCTTGAGCTGATCTTTGTAATTTTCTATTCAGCTCTTGGACCTCCTCATTTTTTCCATTTGCTTTAGCATTTCTACACTGGAAACAAAGTTACAGTGTCTCTTCTGACATCCATTTTGACCTTTTCCTTCTTTCTTGTCTTCTTAATGTCTTTTTGCTTTTTTCATGTATGATGTTCTTGATGTCATCCCACAACTCTTCTGGTCTTCAGTCTTTAGTGTTTAATGTATCAAATCTGTTCTTCAGATGATCTCTAAATTCAGGTGGGATATATTCATGGTCATATTTTGGCTCTCATGAACTTGTTTTCATTTTCTTCAGTTTCAGTTTGAATTTGCAAATGAGTAATTGATGGTCTGTTACACAGTCTGCCCCAGCCTTGTTTTCACTGATGATATGGAGCTTTTCCACAGATGTAGTCAATTTGATTTCTATGTATTCCATCTGGTGAGGTCCATGTATATAGTCATTTCTTCTGCTGTCTAAAGAAGGTATTTGAAATGAAAAAATCATTGATTTTGCAGAATTCTATCATGCGTTCTCCAGCATAGTTTCTATCACCAGGGCTATATTTCCAACTATTGATCCTTCCTCTTTGCTCCCAACCTTTGCATTCCAATCACCAGTAATGATCAATACATATTGATTGCATGTCTGATCAATTTCAGATTGAAGAAGTTGATAGAATTCTTCTACTACGTCCTCACTGGCTTTAGTGGTTGATGCATAAATTTGAATAATAGTGGTATTAATTGGGCTTCCCTTAAGGCGCATGGATATTATCCTATCACAGACAGCATTGTACCTCATGACTGATCTGGATATGTTCTTTTTGACAATGAATGCAACACCATTCATCTTCAATTTGTCATTCCTGACATAGTAAACCATATGGTTGTCAGATTCAAAATGACCTATACCAGACCATTTCAGCTCTCTAATGCCTAAGATATCCATGTTTATGCGTTCCATTTAATTTTTGACAACTTCCAATTTTCCTAGATTCATACTTCGTGCATTCCATGTTCCAGTTTTCAATGGATGTTTACAGCTGTTTCTCTTCATTTTGAGTTGTGCCCCATCAGCAAATGAAGGTCCTGAAGGCTTTTCTCCCATGGGCTTTACTCCATTCGCATCATCATGGTCAACTCTACTTTGAGGAGGCAGTTCTTCCCCAGTTGCATTTGATTGCCTTCCAACCTGAGGGGCTCATTTTCCAGCACTGTATCTGACAGTGTTTCTCTGCTATTCATAAGGTTTTCAGTGACTAAAGATTTGGAAGTAGTTCATCACTCTTTCTTCCTAGTCTGTCTTTGTCTGGATGTTCATCTAAAACCTGTCCACCGTGATTGACCCTGCTGGTATTTAAAATACTGGTGGCATAGCTTTCAGAATCACAGCAACTCACAAGCCACCATATTACCGCAAACTGACAGAACAGTGGAGGCTGTTTGGTTTTAAGGAAATTTGAGGGAGTCATAAATATATAGAAATTAAACAGTGCACACTAATAACCAGTCGGTCAAAGACGAAATCAGTAGAGGATTAGAAAATACTTTGATATGAATGAAAACAGCATAGCAAAATGTGCAGGATTCAGCTAAGGTAATGCATACTGGGAATGCATAGCTATAAATGTCTGTATTAAAGAAGAAACATCTGAAGGCTATAACCTAGACTTCTAACTAAAGTAACTAGAAAAAGAAAAGCAAATTAAACCTAAAGCAGTCAGAAGGAAGGAAATGTTAAGAAAAATAAGTGGACTAGAAAATAGAAAAACAGAAAATCAATGAAACCAAACATTGATTCATGAAAAGATAAGCAAAATTGACAAACCTTTTGCTAGACTGACTGAGTAAAACAAGAGACTCACATTATTAAAATCAGACTTGAAAGCAGAGATAGCATTACCAACGGTATAGAAACTTAAAAGTAAGAGACTAATAGCCAATGTTGTTGTTGTTAAGTGCCATCGAGTTGGTTCCAACCCATAGCGACCCTGTATAGGGCTTCTGAGGAGCAGCTGGTGAGCTTGAACTGCTGAACTTGCAGTTCAAACGGCTTTGTAGTCTGGCGCATTAACTCACAGCACCACACTAGGACTCCAATAAGCACATGAAAAGATTCTCAAAATCATTAGTCATTACAGAAATGCAAATTGAAACCAAAGGAGGTATCACTTCATAAACACTGTTGTTTAGTGCCTTAGAGTCAGTTTAAAGTTTCTGAGGAACAGCTTGTGGACTTGAATTGTCAGCCTTGCAATTCAAATTGATTGCAGTCCAGTGCTTATCCTACAACATCATACCAGGACCCAACTGTGACAAATCTTTACAACAATGTGGAAAATCAGAACCTTTAATAATCATAAAGACTGAAAAGTGGAAAAGGCATAAATTTCCACTGAATGATGAACAGATAAACAAGATGTGTTGTGCTCATGTAATGGGATAGTATTTGTCAGTTTAAAGGAATGAAATATCAAAAAGTGATATGGCTTTGATGAGCCCTTAAAATATGAAAGGTATCAGTCACCAAAAAAACACGTATGTATGATTGCATTCTTGAGAAACCTCCAGAATAGGCATAACTAGTCAAAAGATTTGTGGTTACCCACAGCTAAGAGTGATTGTGAGTAGGAATGGGGTTTCTTTTGGAAATGATGAAAATGTTCTAAAAAGTGTGGTCATTGTGAACAACTCTGAGAGAATACTCAAAACCACTCATCTGAATTATGTTTCCATGTAGCAATTTTTAATGGGTTATTAACATCTATGAAGGGGAGGATTCATTTCATGTCTTTATCTTTAAAGAGGTATTTCTAGTACTTAAATGTTTAACATTTGATAAAAACAATATTTTTAAGCTAACTTTTTTTTTTTTTTTTTAATAAATCTAGCTGGACAACTCAGCCAATCAGCACATTTAGCTCTTCAGCTACCATATAATGTCCTTGGTTTAGGTAGAAGTGCAAATTTCCTTGATCATCTTTTTGTTGGTATTCCCCGCCCATCTGGAGAGAAAGTAAGTAAACTTTATTTTGATAACTAATTTGTTTTTTCATATTAGCTTTAAACAAATTAATTGATTGGTAGTTATCTAACTGAAGTTATCTAATATTTGTTTGAAAATATAACTTCCCAACACCTCTACTATAAAGTTCAAGATTATCCTCCTTTCCTGGTTTCTTTTTTACCTTATCACTTCTCACCACCTAGTCAGTTAGTCATACTGTGGTGGTTTGTGTGTTACTGTGATGATGGAAGCTTTGTCACCAGTACTTTAAATATCAGCAGGGTTTCAGCTGAGCTTACAGAGTAGGAAGAAGGAGAGGAGGACTACTTCTGAAACCCCTATAAATAGCAGTGAAACACTGTCAGATAGCACCAGAATATTGAATATTAAAGCATAATGAAAAGCATCCGGAATATTGTAAGACATAGTACCAGAAGATGAGTTCCTCAGGTTGGAAGGCACTCAGAATATACCTGGGGAAGAACTGCTTCTTCAAAGTACAGTTGACCATGATTATGCAAATGGAATAAAGCTTTCAGGACCTTCATTTGCTGATGGGGCAGAACTCAAAATGAGGAGAAACAACTACAAACATCCATTAAGAATCAGAACACAGAAAATACAAAGTACAAATCTAAGAAAATTTGAAATTATGAAAGATGAAATGGAACTCATAAAGATCAATATCCTAAGCATTGGTGAGTTGAAATGGACTGTTATTGGCCATTTTGAATCTGACAATCACCTGGGAATGACAAATTGAAGAGGAATGGCATGACATTCATCATCAAGAGTATTTCAAGATCTATCTTGAAGTATAATGTTGTCTGTGATAGGATAATATCCATATGCCTACCAGGAAGACCAGTCAATACACAATTATTAAAATTTATGCACCAACCACTACAACCAATGATTATGAAATTGAAGAAGTCTACCAACTTCTTCAGTTTGAAATTGATCAAACATGCAATCAAGATGTATTAATAATCACTGGTGATTGAAATGCAAAGGTTGGAAACAAATAGAAAGGATTAGTGGTTGGAAAATATGACCTTGGTGATAGACATGATGCATGATAGAATTTTGCAAGACAAATGACTTCTTCATTGCAGATGCCTTTTTAAACAACATAAAAGATAACTGTACACATGGACCTCACCGGATGAAAGCTAGAAAAACAAAATTGACTGTGAGAATAGATGGTGGGAAAGCTCCATGTTGTCAGTGAATACAAGGCCAGGGGCAGACTGTGTAACAGACCATCAATTGCTTATATTCAGGATTAAAGTAAGTCCACGAGAGCCAAAATTTTACCTTGAACATATCGCGTCTGAATTTAGAGAGCATCTCAAGAATAGATTTGATGCATTAGACACTAATGACCGAAGACCAGAAGAATTGTGGGATGACATCAAGAGCATCATATAGAAAGAAAGCAAAAGGCAGAACAGATTCTGAAACTTGCTATCCAGCTTAGAGATGCTAAAGCAAATGGAAGAAATGAGAAAGTAAGATAGCTGAACAGAAAATTTCAAAGGGCAGCTCAAGAAGACATTCAAGTATTATAAGGAAATGTGCAGAGACCTGGAATTAAAAAACTAAAAGGGGAAAAAAAAAACCTAACAGGGAAGAACATACTCAGCATTTCTCAAGCTGAAAGAAGAGAAGAAAAATTCAAGCCTCCACTTTCAATATTGAAGGATTATATGGGCAAATATTGAATGATGCAGAAAGCATCCAATGGAAGGAATACACAGAATCACTACACCAAGAAGAAATTTACAGCATTCAGCCATTTCATGAGATAGCCTATGACCAAGAGCCAATAGTACTGAAGGAAGAGGTCAAAGGCATTGGCAAAGCAGAAGGCTCTGGGAATTGATGGAATACAAATTGTGTCTTTCAACAAACTGATGCCGCACTGGAGGCACTCACTTATCTATGTCAAGAAATTTGGAAGACAGCTAGCTGATTGGACATGATCCATATTTGTGCCCATTCCTAAAAGAAGTGACCCGTGGTATATGGAAATCATCAGACAATACTGTATCACGTGCAAGTAAAATTTTGCTAAAGATCATTCAAAAATGGCTGCAATAGTACATTGACAGGGAACTGACAGAGGAACAAACCAGATTCAGATGAGGACGTAGTATGAAGAATATCATCGCTGATGTCAGATGGATCTTGCCTTAAAGCAGAGAATACCTGTGCATTATTGACTACACAAAGGTGTTTGACTCTGAATCATGACAAGCTATGGACAACATTGCAGAGAGTAAGGGTTCTGGAACACTTAATTGTGCTCTTAAGGAACCTGTACCTACACCAAGAGGCAGTTGTGTTAACAGAACAAGAGGAGGTGAATGGTTTAAAATTAGGAAAGGTATGCACCAGGGTTGTATTCTTTCACCATACTTATTCGTTCTGTATGCTGAACAAGCAATCTGAGAGGCTGGATAATATGAAGAAAAACGTGACATTAGGATTGGAGGAAGACTCATTAACAACCTGAGATATGCATACAATACAACCTTGCTTGCTGAAAGCTTAAAATACTTATTGATGAACATCAAAGACCATAGCCATCAGTATGAGTTACACCTCAATGTTAAGAAAACAAAAAGATCACCACTGGACCAATAGAGAACATAAATGGAGAAAAGATCGAAGTTGTCAAAAACTCATGGCATCAGCTGAAAAGAAATCAAATGATATATTCCATTAAACAAATCTGCTGCACAAGACCTCTTTAAAGTGTTCAAGAGCAAATATGTCAGTTTGAGAACTAAAGTACTCCTGACTCAAGCCATGGTATTATTAATAACCTCATATGTGTGTGAAAGTTGGACAGTGAGTAAGGAAGACCTTAGAAGAATTGGGACATTTGAGTTATAGTGTTGGTGAAGAATATTAAAAGTACCATAGATTGCAGAAGAACAAACACATCTGTATTACAAGTATAGCCAATAATGCTCCTTAGAAATCAAGATGGCAAGACTTTGTCTCTTACTTTGGACATATTATCAGGAGGGACCAGTCTCTGGAAAAGGACATCATACGAGATAGAGTGGACAGTTAGCAAAAAAAGAGGAAGACCCCCAACAAGGTGGGTTGACACAGTAGCAGCAGCAATGGATTCAAGTAAAACAACAAGGATGGGGCAGGACCGGGCAGTGTTTTGTTCTGTTGTGCATAAGGTTGCTATGAGTAGGTACCGACTCAGCAACACCTAACAACAGTGTGCTATATAGTGTCACTATGTAATGAACTACTGAGTGTCACAAATGGTTAACATTCAACTGCTTGCAGAAAGGTTTACCGTTCAGAACCATCCAGAGGAAAATGTGGAACAAAACTAAGATCAGAAATAAAGTAGAGGATTGCTGGTCATCTAAAGACTTGAACCCTGAGACTATGACCCATCAGATCTGGAAGTGAACTCACCCCTCTGGCTCAATTTTCAGTCAAGCAACAGCTACACAGAGGGTACAACTCTGCCAATGAAGTAAGCATAATGGTCAACCATTCAAGATCAAAAGGGCAGCATTTACCCAAGGACAATGTTCAAAAGGATTGGGAAAGAAGGAGAAATGGAACCAAGAAACACAAACAAAGTGGAATACAAGAAATGGACAAAGTGGATGTGTAATGTTACATTAAGGATACTACAAACAATAAGATGAAACAAAGTGTATGAATTGTTGGATGTAAAACTGGTGATCTGCTCTGTAAACTGTCACTCAGTTCACAGTAAAAAGGTTATAATAATTAAATAAATAATACCCAGGGCGCCTCAGAGACAGGCCTAGTAAGCAGGTTGCCGTTCTGGTCTGTGTACATGGGATCACCGTGAGTCGGAATCCGCTCAGTGTCAGCAGACAACAACAACAGCAGCTGTAGTTTTCACTTATTTTCTTTATTGTCATACTCCCCCTCAACTTGAATGTAGCTCCAAGCAGCATTTTTACATCATCTTTGGATTGTGTTTGCTATGTAATAGTAGGAGCAACAAACAAATATTTGCTTCACGAATGAATGAATGAAATATACAGAAATATATCTCTTCTCAGTAAAGAGTACAATATTTTTACCAACAGATGATACAGAATCCCTATTTAATGTGAATATGTAAAGTTAGATTAATCCATACCTAGAATTTACATTTCTCAAAGAGTACTTACTTGAGCTTTTTCCTGTATTTAATTAAAATAATTTAATGTTTCTTTAAATGTTTTAAAAATATTCTTAAATTATTTTTCCAGTCTGTACGGAAGCAAGAGTGGACTGCAATCATTCCAAATTCCCAGCTAATTGTCATTCCATACCCTCACGAGATCCCTAGAAGGTAATGTCCTCCCTGGAACTGAATGTTTTAATACTGTCCCCTTTAAATCGTAGATGCTTCCAGCTGTGTGCCCTCATGAATGTCATCACTTTCTTTGCTTACACCAACCTTAAATGAATACACAAACCTCCACAAAGCGTTCTTGACATTTTCAATGAAGATCAAATTAAATCCTATTAGAAAAACAGCAGGGTAACTAATTTGGGATTTATACAGATTCTGGTTAAATAAACTGCTTTTCAATTTACTAGTTATAAATTCTAAAATTTCAGGTACTAAACTTTTTAATAAGCCCTGATCTTTTTAATAAAGACTTTGAAAAGTGGCATATATCCCACAATGGTTGTTGGACACATCTTTTGGGATTAAGTAGACCTAGGCCAGAAACTCTTCTTCACTGCTCACTGTGAGATTGCAAGCTAGTTTCTTTGTCTTCTCTGAGCCTTCATTTCTGTGTCTATACAATCAGTGATTGACGATCTACTTTATAAGGCTTTTGTGAGGATGAAATGTACACAACACAGTGTCCAGAATATTGTTTTCAGAAAGCAATAACAATTTTTATCCTTATTAACGGACTATGTTCCTTTCATAAAATAGCATTTAAATAATGCTTTAACTCTAATATTTGTTGATTTTTCTTTAAATTACTAGATTGGCTATATTATTTTTAAATTAAACAATGGAAGGAGGTATTCATTAACATTTAAATTTCACTAGGAAAAAATATTACTACAGTATGGGAAAATAACCAAGGGAAATGGTATAATTATGAAAAATATAATCAGTAGGGTCCTGTTTGTTACATTTCTCTTAAAAATACAGACTTGCTTCTTATTAAAATTTTAAATGGGATGTTTCAGTTGTGTGCTAGAACCAGCTTGTGCCAGCTTATTAACCAATTGTGTGCATCTGTGCATCTTTTCCTAACTCTGTGTTCAGTGAAGTCCCATTGCTAACTTAAAATCAGCCCTGGTAGGAGTATATTTACACCACAAAAATTGGCAAATACTACAAAAATCAGCTGCCCCTCCGCCATCCCCAAAAGCCAATATACCAACACATAATGTATACATAGATGTATTCTATGACTGATTTGTGAGCTTTAGAACCAAATTGCTTAAGAAAACAGTCTTTATTACAGTATTTTGCATGAAATAAGAAAATGTCAGTAGAAACACTTCTGATCCTGGTTGAGGGATATAAATGAGCCTGCAATGTGTGTTTACATTAGTTTTCTATACATAAGACATAAAACTAGAAAAACTGGATCCTAAGTAAAAGGGAGTCTTGGTGTGGCGCTGTACTGAACCACAAGGTTGTTTTAAACCATAACTTCAGTGGTTCAAACTCACCAACCATTCCTCGGAAACCCTATACAGGTTCACTGTGAATTGGAACCAACTCAACGGCAATTAACAATAGCAAGTAAAAGGCTATGTAAATTAGGTTACTTCTGTAGTGTGGCACTTTTGGATAATCTTTACACCACAAGGACCTCAAGGTTGGTTTGAACCCCAAGGTCAACGCAAGGTTGGTTTGAACCACAAGATGGACCTTTCAAACTCACCAGATGCTCCTTGGAAATCCTATACAGGGTCACTATATGTCAGAACTGACTTGATGACACTTAACATAGTATGCAGTAGGGGGCGTGGTGGCCCTGTATGATTAGCACTGTGGACTGAGAACTGCAATGGTGATTTGAGCCCACCAGCGGTGTGAACCCACCAGCTGCTCCATGGGAAAGAGACGAGGCTTTCTGCTACAGCACAATGTACAGCCTCAGAAACCCTACATAGTGTTGCTATGAGTCGGAACCAACTCCAGGGCACTGAACAACAATAACAATAGAATGCATTGCTATGACACAAAGAGGTGGACATGAAACAATCTCTTTAGTGTGATAAGTAAAGAAGGAGGGGGGTAAGCAGATGAGTATTTCTCTAATAGGTGACTATTTTAAAAAGAAGTAGCTATATATGCATATAAGAGAGTAGGTCATAAAGTATTGCTCTAAATACATAAAAACCTTCATTAAACAAAAATATCAATGTGTGAAGCTATTGATCAACATAACTTCCATCTAGGTCTATACATTTCTGAAGACATTGTTTACATCTTTCTAACCCATCCCTGAAGAATTTTGCACATTTGAAATTATACCATTTAAGAATAGCAGTTTTGGCATCCTTGAGGGACTTAAATCAAGTTCCTTTGAAATGTTCTTTGAGTTTGGGGAACAGAAAGTCTGAAGGGGCAGGATTAAAGCTGTAGGAATGATGGGATAATGTTTCCCGATGAAATTCTCATAATGCAGCCATTTTGCCCTCAAAGGTTAAGCAGGTACAGTGTAGTCATGGAAAAATACTCCTTGGCACAACTTTCCTGGCCTTTTTCTCATGACTGCAGTTTTCAATTTTCTTGAAAGGTCTTCCTAATAAGCCCCCATGATCACCCTGTGTCTTTGGAGAAAATCTATCAAGATGCCCCTTTGGAATTCCGAAGCACAGTGACCAGAACTTTCTAACCTGATCTCTCTGCCTTCAATTTAACTGGACCCACAAATCCCTATGGAAGTCACTGTTTTGATTGGATTATGCTCTCTGGATCTTACTGGTAAATCCTAGATCAATCCCCAGTTATGATTCAATCCTTAAAATCATCGTCATTACCTTTGATCTTGTTTAAAAGACTGATGAAAAGATCACTTCTTTGAGCTAGCTGATCTTCAGACAACTCTTTGAACACCCATCAGGGTGAAAGTTTGCTGAGGTCAAGATTTTCACTTAAATTGAAAATGTAAGATCCCAGCTGAGTAGCTATTACGTCAGTGGTAACTCTAAGTGGTCTTCTCCCAGTCCTAGACTTTTGCCCCAATTTCCTCATTCATTGAGGTTGATGGTCTTTCCTCTTGTAGCTCACCTTTGAGGTTTTCTCAACTTCCCTTAAAATATTTGATCCATCTAAAAACTTGTTTTATATGGGGCAATACTCCTGAAAACTTGCAACGTTTCAATGATTTGAGATTTCCACATAATTTTTGTTAAGAATTTTATATTAGCCTTGACCTCAAAATTATTTTTTTCCATGACACATAAAGTATCCTTTAATAAGGCCTCCTGTGGTGGTAAAGGATAAGCACTGGACTGGTAACTACAAGGTTGGCAGTTCAAACCCCCCAGATGCTCTTGGAAACCCTATAAAGAATCACTATGAGTCAGACCACAACAACAGCCTAAAACAAGTATATTACTGACAGAAAATACTCCACTGATAGCAGAGACATATTTAAGCATGTTTTGTTTGGAATAAGCCTGTCATGTATGAACTGGAACCATTGATGTTGTTAGGTGCCATCAAGTTGGCTACAACTCATAGCAACCCTGTGCACAACAGAACATCGTCACAGTTATTTTTACAGTTAAGCTCATTGCTGCTGCCGTTGTATCATTCCATCTCATTGGGGGTCTTCCTCAATTTCGCTGACCCTCTACTTTACCAAGCATGATGTCCTTCTCCAGGGACTAATCCCTCCTGATAACATGTCTGAAGTATGAGAGAAAAAGTCTCGCTCTCCTGACTTCTCGGGAGCACTTGGGTTGTACTTCTCCCAAAACAGAATTCTTCTGACAGTCCATGGTACTGCTAATATTCTCGTCCAACACCATATCTCAAATGTGTCAATTCTTCTATGGTCTTCCTGATTCACTGACCAACTTTCATTTTCAATAGCCTCACACATGGCTTGGGTCTGGTACACCTTAGTCTTCAAACTGACATCTTTGTTTCTGAAAACTTGAAAGCGGTCTTATGCAACAGATTTGCCAAAATGCATGCAATGTTGTTGTTATAAAGTGCCCTCGAGTCTGACTTACAACAACCCTGTATAGGGTTTCCAAGGCAACTGGTGGGTTTGAACCCTGACCTTGCAGTTCAGTGCTCATCCTACAGTGCCACACCATGTCGTTTTATTTCCTGATTGTTGCTTCTGTGAATGTTGATTCTGGATGAATGATAGTAGTAATACTTTTTAACTTATCCCAATATGTTTTCTGGAGGGATACACAAGAAACCAGTAACAGTGATGCTTCTGAGTTGGAAGCAGGTTTGGCCTTTGGTTCTACATGATTCTTTTAAAGGCTGAGTAAGGTACTGAGATTGGCTAATTTATTTTCTTACTCTTCAGGAATGCTCTTGAATTTTTGTTGTAGCTTTCTTCCATAATCTCAACATTTTCCATTTCCCTTGTGTTCTTTCTGGAAAAAATTGTTAAATCTGTTTTTTAAAAGTATATAAATAGTAAAAAAAAATTGATTTTAGTTTGAGTACAGTTTTGAGACTTATTGACTAGAGGCTAACTTGAAAATCAATCATTTTAATTATCATCCAAAAAGAAGTCCATAGCTACTTTTTATTAATCAGAAAGCTATTTAAGATATTGCAGTTATTAAACTTTTCTAATGAAAATATATTAATTATCTTTCAGAGAACAAAAAATAGTAACTGTCAGCCATGTTACTGGTATGGACTCCAGGTTTAGGTTCTGCAGGGTTTGCATGTGCTGTGTTTTATGAACTGTTTTCACCGGAACGCTTATGGCCTTAGTTTCTATACTGCATTAGCAATAGGGCTGTGATGGTATAGTAGTTCTCAACCTAATTGTCACTATTGTAATGTAAACCCTCCCTTCTGACACAGAAATCATAGAGGTTTTCACAGGCCTTATGGTCACAGTGCATTTGTGGATCAACAAAAAAGTTGATCTGATGGAAATCATGTGACAACTTAGCCTTGGATTTCAAGGTTTAAATTCAGCAAGTCACTCAAGAAATAATACAGATGTCTAAAATTGTCCAAAATAGTCTTGATACATTTCCTTAAGTATAATTCTCACAGGCTCAAACAACAGAAAAATATTGCATAAAAAAACTACCTAAATTCTCCATATAAACTCTGAACTCCTGCAGAATCGTCCATAGTCTTAGCCCAGTCTAAATGGAATGGTTTTTTACATATATAATGATTGGGTAGATGAATAAATAATAACCTTTACTACTTCTTGATCTCAGTGGAAGTTTGTCATTTTTCAATTAAAATTTGTCATTTTAATTCTTCTGTTTTCATCTGCAGCTGGAGCGCCAAACTGTACCTCACTCCAAGTAACATTGTCCTCCTCACGGCTATTGCGCTCATCGGTGTCTGCGCTTTCATCTTGGCTATCATTGGCATTTTGCACTGGCAGGAAAAGGTGTGTGGAGTTAAATGAAACATTCACTTTATTTATTATACTAATATATTGCTTTCAAAGAAACTATTCATTTTTAACTTTTTCACATGGCTAGGATTTTAGACATAAAACCAAATGGCCACTACTCGTCTGTCTGTCATACGGTGGTGGCTTGTGAGTTACTGTGATTCTGAAAGCTATGCCACCAGTATTTTAAATAACCAGCAGTGTCACCCATGGTGGTCAAGTTTCATATGAGCTTCTAGACAAAGACTAGGAAGAAAGAGTGACAAACTACTTCCGAATCTTTAGTCACTGAAAACCTTATGAATAGTAGAGAAACACTGTCAGATACAGTGCCAGAAAATGAGACCCTCAGGTTAGAAGGCACTCAAAATGCGACTGGAGAAGAGATGCCTCCTCAAAGTAGTGTTGACGTGAATGGAGTTAAGCTCGTGGGAGAAAAGCCCACAGAACCTTCTTTTGCTGATGGGCCACAACTCAAAATGAAGAGAAACACCTGTAAACATCCATTGAAAATTGGAACATGGAATGTACAAAGTATGAATCTGGGAAATTTGGAAGTTGTCAAAAATGAAATGGAACGTATAAACATGGATATCTTAGGCATTAGTGAGCTGAAATGGACTGGTATTGGCCATTTTGAATCTGACAACTACATGGTTTACTATGCCAGGAATGACAAATTGGAAAGGAATGGTGTTGCGTTCATCGTCAAAAAGAACATATCCAGATCAGTCATGAGGTACAATGCTGTAAGTGATAGGATAATATCCATGCACGTACAGGGAAGCCCAGTTAATACCACTATTATTCAAATTTATGTACCAACCACTAAAGCCAGTGAGGATGAAATAGAAGAATTCT